CATGCGAAAATGGCAAGTCATCTGAATTTGACCAGCATGTGAGGAGAGACAAAGCCAGGAAGGTTGTCAGCAGTACACAGTTGACATCGAATTGTGGGTGAGACAGTGGAACGATGGAACTCTTCTAAACGGGAGACCTGAACATTTTTATTCCTCAACTTCTTGAATGCACTAAGCTCACTTCCTCCTCAGGGCTCTTAGATCCTCTGTTCCCTCTGTCTGGTACACCTTCCCCCCAACTTCTCTTTTCTCCCCTTGGCTAAATCCTACTCATCCTTCAGATCTGAGTATAACCGTCATTTTCTCAGAGAAGTCTGCCCTGGCCTTTCAATTGAAGTTAGATTCCCCTGCTATAGTCTCTCATCTCATCTAATTATTTTCCTTCCTTGTACTTAACTTGGGTTATAATGATATATTTATGTCTGTGACCATTTGTTTGATATCCATCTCTTCCATCCGACCGCATAAGCTCCATGAGGTCAGGGACTTTATCTATCTTGTCCCTTAGTGTATCCCCAGTAACTGACAGGCAAAAAGGTCTCGAGAAGTGTTGGCTAAATGATAAGTGAATGAATGAGTGACAGCAAAGAGAAAAAACAATATAAATAGAAACCCCCCTTACATACACACACACACAAAACAGAAATATGTCATTAATAAGAGAAGGATCATGGTCTGGTGCAAGATACATTGGCTAGGAGTCAGAGTTGGGGGCCTGGTTTTTATACTCATTTCTGCCACTACCTAACTGTGAGACCACATCCAAAATGCAATTTGTTAGAGTAGCTATTTTTCCTTCTCTGAGGTCACAGCCTTGGTCTCAAATTCCTCATTTGTAAAATTGTGATAATACAGCCTGCCCTATTTATCTTCAATACTGGAAAAAACACTTGAACTTAATATACTGTCATGTAGGTAAAGTACTACACAAATATAAAAATATTAATCCGTAGAATCAGTGTAGAGATATTTGCGTCTAAATTGTATATCTAATGTCTATTGACAATTCGCAAATAAGTGACTTCAGTTTTTCATTCATGTTTGCTGCAAAAATTATTTTCTATCACCATTGGTCAAAAGTAAAAAAAAAAAAAAAAAGTTAAGACCAGTGGTAAAGCTATATCCTTTTATTACCAGAGTGACTATGAGATATTATGTTGAGTCTGTGTTGAACATACTAGTGAAAACACATGCCCTTTACATTTACTCAAAGTCACTAATGGCTTTCATAAAAACAGAATGTATCATTTAAGGGGAATAAATAATTAGCCTTGACAAGAAGTAAGCTCAGGATTCTCATGAATGAATTAGCCAATTCCCACTATGGATACTGAGTATTTGGTTTTTAATTTTACATCCTAATGAAAATTGAGGACCAGCTGGAGACACTGGAGGGACTGAGACACAGGGTTGTCTGGGAAGGGCTTAAGTTAGGATAAAGTTGTTATATCAACAATGGTCTTAAACAAGGCAAAGTGGTGCCAAGCAAAAAATGTGGATTAGAAAGAAAAGCCACATTCGTATTTTTTGTACTTTAGGCTTAGTACTTTATGGCTTGTTATGGAATGTTAAACCATATGGAAGGTATCCCACAAGGACAGCAGGCTGGGATATTTTGGGTCTAACCATATCAAGCATTTTTTAATGCAAAACTATTTATTGAGCATCTATTGTGTGTTCTAACGTTTATGTGAGAAAATTTTATGTGGGGAACCAGTTGAGAGAAGGTAAACGGGCATGAACAACGAACCAGAAGTTGGAATGAACATATTGTGCTCCCACAGTGAATGAGCAAATTAGCAAGAGCAGAAGGGACCATTGGAGAAAGGGAAGAAAGAAAAGCAAGAAAATATTACTTCCTTGCTTGTATAGAACTTTATAATACGAAACAAACAAACAGACCTAACCCCAAACCAAACCAAAACGTATGCACAATTCTCATCACATTTGATCCACCAAACAAAAAACAAATGCAGAAACCTCAGTGAGGTTGGGGGTATGGGTGTTTGCCCCAGAGAGTAAATGAGCTTGCCCAAGGGCACACAGCTGAACAGCGTGGGGGAGGAGGGGACGCCTCGCATTACTCTCCCAGAGCACTTTCCTCTGCAGGGCTCAAAAGATAGGATGAGATGCAATGGTGAAGCCTTTCCATGCCAGGCTAAGGAATTTGGTCTTTATTCTGTGAGGAAAATAAGTAGACAGGACACCTAATTTAGCCCAAGGGGAAGAAAGCAGAGTTCACCACAAACCACTAACAGGTCATCTTGACATGGACCTTGGACAAGGTTCTGCAGAGAGCTTTCTAAAGGATGGTTTTTGAGTGCTTGGAAGAACCCTTGCCAGCACTGGTTCACCGAAAAGCCAATTATGTTTGAGCAACTCATTTTCTCCTCTGACAGGAGTACCATAGAAAATTTAGTTTGTATTTCAATAAGACACTTGTTTCAGATACCACTCTGGAGAAAATGGGCAATTACAGGATGGGTGGTGGATTAATTTGCATTGATTTTTTTTCCACTTTATTTCTTTTAATCTTTTTGATTTATTATTCTTTTATTGAAGTATAGTTGATCTACAATTTTGTGTTAGGTTCAAGTGTACAGTAAAGTAAGTCAGTTATATATATATATATATATATATATATATATGTATATATATGTGTATATATGTATACATATAAATATACATATATACATTTATTCTTTTTTAGATTCTTTTCTATTATAGGTTATTATAAGATATTGAGTATAGTTCCATGTGCTATACAGTAGGTCCTTTTTGGTTATCTATTTTATGTATAGTAGTGTGTATATGTTGTAATTTGCAGTGAATTTTAAAGGTGAAGGGGATTTTAGAACTCATCTAACCTACTCCATCCTTTTAAAAATGAGAAAAAGGAAACAAGGGGTAAATCGACTTACTTTAAGTTATATCATCATCATCATCAAAATAGCTTACACATATTGAACACTTACTATGTATCTGGCACATTCTAAGTGATTAATATGTACTGGCTTCTTTAATCCTCACAACAAACCTACGTGGTAACAGAGGCTCAGGGAGATTCAGTAACTTGCCAATATCATGAGCTTATAAGCAATGGACCTGGGATTTGCCAGCAAGGCTGGCTTCTGAGTTGGGGCTTTCTCTTTAGGTACACCCTCTCCAGGACATAAAACTAGAAAGTGGGAGAACAAAGTGTCACTGGTACTAATGAATGGACTTTCTGATGGTACGCTATAAGACGTCCTTGCTATGTCGTTTTCAACACTTTTACCCACAAGTTGGATGAAATATGGAAAGCAGTTCATCAGATCTTCAGAAGCCATGATATGGGGAGAGGAATAAAAAATACACTGGACAAAAGAAGCAGGATCTCAAAAAATCTGGGCTGATGAATGAATCTAAATGTTTTCATTTCAGAGGAATATAGGAAGATATTGCGTGTTGACTCCCAAACCAATTGCCCAAGAATGGGGTGGAGAATATGCATAAAAGAGAATACAACTTGGGGTGTGGGATTTATCAATTCCAACATCAATAAGCATGTGGGGCTGACCAGAAGCTAATGCAAGGAAGAAAATGACATTCTGTGTGTATTTTGCACTGGTCACGTCCACACTGGTTCTCAGCTGATGCTATGAGACCAGTGACTAACCAGGGGAGCTCCAGTCACTGAGACTTTTCACAGTGACGGCCTGATCTTTCTTCCTCCTTCCTGACCTGCTTTTGCTCTGATGTCCATCTTGGCCTCTTCCCCCATTGTCATCCTGACTTTGTTCCTGCCTCTTGCCCTCTATTCTCAGTTTTTGTTCTGGGTTCTCCTAGCATGTGAATCTTGGGGTATTTTTCCCCATGGGGCCCTGATTTGACTGCCTCTCTATCAGCCATGCTGTATCAGGAGAAAACCTCTCATCTGTGTTTCAGCCTCTCAGAGCTCAGTCCATGACTCTGACCCCTGGAGGGTATGCTGATAGCACTCCCATTGCCCTGCCAGTACATACAACACAAGAAGATTTGGACCATATCTGGAGTATTGTATCCAAGTCTGGCCTACCCCCTTCCCTACCATAAGGGAATCTCTGTAAATTGAAGTATATTCATAGAAAAAGGATAGGCTGTGAATAGTCTTGAACAGTTGGTGATATGTGGAATGAATAAAAGGGGCCAGAATGCCCAGACAAGGTAGACTATGGGCTTGGGAGATTTGTCTCCAACTTTGCAGAAGATCCTACTGTGAAAGACCCCACAGGTTTCTCTGTGTGGCTCCAGGGAGTAGCCTAGAACCTGTGGGCAGAAGTGGCAGGGAGGAGACAGATTTCAGCTTAATAAAAAACTTTCTCATGGTAAGAGCTGTCCAGAAATGGAATAGAATGAAATGGTAGTGAGCTCCCCATTATTGGAGGTATTCAAGTATAGGTGGAGCAGTGGCTTGTCACAAAGCTGTATAGTAGATCCAAACATCAAAGGGATGCTTAGACTTTTTCATCTGTGGGTTGGTTGCACCCAAGAGTCTCTGTGCCACTGAGGACTCAATGGTGCTTTTTGAACAGGTGGCCTGATGACAGTGGTATGTAAGGTAAATGCATCCCTCCAGTGAAATATCAGAGAAGGACCACCCCATTTGTCTTTCCTACCTGTATGTTTTCTGTGTCAGCGAGCTCTGGCTTCTACCTTTAGAGCACAGACAAACGCTTCCGGCCACCAGAACAGGAGGGGCCCACCCCAGATCTAAGGGCCACTCTCGTTTAGTTTTCCAAAGCTGGGGATGGCCTCTCACACTTGGCCAATCTTGTGTTTATGTTCTCTCTTGGCCCCTATCCCCACCGCCTTTCCCAGATCAAATACCAAGTGCATTGGATAGATAGAACCCGCAGTGAGAAAATGCATTTTAATAAAACCCCATTGATTTTGGGGGCTGCAAGTAAAGAAAAGGCACCTAAAGAGTCCAACCCCCCCCCCCACTCCCCCGCCCGGCCACTTCCCCCTCCTCTGTCCTGACCTACTCTGGGGCGGTCACACATCGATTGGCTTCCCAGATAATAGATTGTGCCACCACCGGTGGGGAACCTCTGGGGACCAGCCGGAAGGTGGAAGAGTCGCACGCAGCAGCCCAGCCCCGACTTAATCAAACTAGCAACAGGATCTCCAGCGGCAGCGCGGCGGTGGCAGTGTGGCAGTGGCGGCAGCGGCGGCGGCATTATGCGTGATTACTGACAGGCACCAGCTGCCGCCGCCACCGCCGGCTCAACGCACGATGTGGACTCTCAGATCGAGAGGCAGATTCCTGACTAATCCCAGAGGGCTGGCCCAGCCCGAGCTGCCCGGGCTGGTAGGAAGCGATGACCACTCTTGCTAGCCCAAGTTGAAGGGAGCCCGGCTGCGCTCGGGAGCCGGGAGAGGCCGAGCGATTGAGCAGACGCGCCCGGGAGGATTATGAACTGAAGAGTCAACATGTACGGAAATTATTCTCACTTCATGAAGTTTCCCACAGGCTTCGGAGGTGAGTATTTCACATGGCTTCACCGTGGGGACCGTGTGGAGAGACGGAGCGGAGATGGGGAGATCCGGATAACTGGATTAGGATTGAATCAGGAGAGCATATATGTTTATAGGCATATATAGTGTGTTTCCGTGTGAGTGTGTGAGTGTGTGTGTGTGTGTGTGTGTGTGTGTGTGTGCATGAGAGAGGGACAGGGGCCGGGAGAGGGAGGGAGCGAGAGAGGGGGAGAGAATGGTCCGTAGGTGAGGATCTGTTTGTACATCAGAATGAGTGAACGGATGGGAGGATATGGGGATATTCTAAGGAGAGCCTCAACCCACATGCTTGGGAATATGTCTGAGACAAAGGTAGACTAAGTGCATTGTTATAACCCGGTGTGTTTGCGTGGGTGTGAAGAGTGGAGAAGGTAGGGGAAATTACTAGGAGGTACCTATTATCCAACTTGCCACGCGGAAAAAAAAAAATGTGACTAAAAAGGTTTTGCCTATATTAAGGGTCCCTGGGATACTTCATAACAAGGGACTGATTGTTTTATTTAAAAGCAGATTTCCTTAGAATTGCATTTTTTAAAAAAGAAAACATAGCACTTTAATTTGCCACCCTGTTTTCCTTCCTCTGTTTTCTCCCCTTTTGATTTGCTAATAGCCTCTTGTCCCCTCCCCTGCTGCTGCCCCCAATTCCATTTCCAGGGTCGCTGCCATCAGTCGGAATCTGGGAGTTGGTGGAGGGGCTGGGTGGTCCAGGTCCTCATAGCAGAAAACAGGCGAGCTGGAGCTCCAAGTTGCCAAGCCAGGCAGCGCAGCTGGGCGGCACTTCCCAGGGGCTGCCTTCACACCCAGGCACTTTGGTCCCAAGGCTCCTTCCATTCGGTGACAGAAGCAGCACAGTCGCCCAGCTTTGGATACATGGAACCAACAGCTGACCAACTGGCCTCTCACTTGGCAGCTGGTGGCGTATAGTTCGGGTTCTTGGGAGCCAAAGGGGAGAGCTTTTGCCCCGCGGATGCTGGCAGGCAAGACAAAGCAGAAATTCTTGTCAGGTCTTGAGAACTGAAAAGTCCCTGCTCTCCCCACCTCCTGTGGGTCATAGGCCATTCCTCTGAAGGCTTGGGGGCAAAGCTTGCCTACCCCTCTGAGCAGTCCCCTCTATAAGGTGTGGTGGGACATGGCCAGTGGATGGGGTCCCTGTCCTGGAGTCATTAAGCCAGGGGGTTTGCTGATTCATTTGGGGTACATTGGGTGGTTTTGTGGGCCAAGCATGGAGTTAGGTGCTGGTAATACAGATGTGCATGAGATGTAGTCTCTACTATTTGGACCGGGCAAGCTTGTTATTACCCAGACAGATTGTAATACTGCATGGCATGTGCCCTATCGGTTGCAGGAGGAGGTTGCCACTTGGACACAGCGGGTGGGGCGCCATGGACACACATCCTGGAGGTGGTAATGCTGAAGTTCTTGGGGCCAGTCTTGTGACATGACCCGGTGAGAGTGGTGGCCAAGGCTGTGACCTGGACATCTGATCTCCAGTTTACAGTTGGGTCCTGGGCGTGAAAAGCCTTTTCAGCTCCCATCTTGGTCCCATTCACAGCCGAGAAGTACTTTTTCCTTTTCCCTCTGAGTTCAGTTGTCTGAAGAACACGCTTATCCATGAGATTCTTGGGACCCCTGAAGTCTGTGAGGTTATGGCTTCATGACTGCCAAGGAGACCCTCTGCGACAGTTGGGGTGAACAAAAGGATTGAAGGTGGACAGACGTAGGAAGAGAAAGTCTGGAGAAAGAAGATCTAGGCCAGAATTCCCTGGGGGCTGCTGGCTGGAATCTTGGGACGGTAGCCTCTTAAGGGACCTCAAAGAGCATCTTAGCCCTCTTATATTATAGATGTGTAAACTGAGGCCTCAATAAAGGCAGGAATAGTTTAAGGTTATGTGGAGTTGAGGGGGAGAGCCCTTCTGGAAAAGCCCCTGAGTCAAACTTCTAATAGTGTTCCTTCAATCTGATGGAGTGAAAAGAGCATGAAAGACACACACACACACACACACAGAAAGAGAGAGAGAGAGAGAGAGAGAGAGAGAGAGAGAGAGAGAGAGAGAACTGAGTTTGGTTTCTAGGTTTTCACTTACTAGCTGTGTGACCTTAGGCAAGTTATTGAACCTCTCTAAGCCTCGTCTCTAAAACGGAGTTTAACATCCCATCCTCAGATCATGGTTGTGAGCATTAAACGTGCAAATGCTTGAAAAAGCAGCTATAGAGTGTTGTCTGTATATGTGGTATTTAGTAAAAGTTAATATTTTCATCCCCTCCATTTTGTTCAAGTACTAAAATGCAAATTAATCTAAAAATCAAACATTACTGCAGAATAATGAATTAGGAATCTGGGGAAATAAAATTGAATCCATGAAGACCCACATACGTTGCTGGTTTAAATTTTCATAATTGTGAGAGCTCTGGTATTTAGTGTAATTAGGTTTCAGATAAAAGGAAACACAATTGGCTGGACCATGGAAGAAGTAGGCTGATATAACATGAGGGGTGGGAGGAGGAAGGATAATCTAGGCTGTTGAAACATCTCCCCCCAGTGCTTCTTTTCCTCCCCGTTCCTGAGAGACGAGAACAATTATTTGGTATCGTTCTGCTGATGTTTTCCATTTTGTTTGCTTTCACCAGCTAAGAGGCGGAAACACTGAGCAGAGGACAGGGACCCCTTGAAAGCAGAGCTCATCGTGGGAACTGGCAGTGGTGAGGGAGGGAGGGAAGGAAGGAGGAGGACCCACCCATAGGCGCTGGGGAAACCTGAGGATGAGAGCAGAAATTACCTGCAGCCTCTCACCACCTTTGCCCAAACGCAGCAAGTTGTGCCACACATATTAAATGATTTAGTGTATAACCCCTGCCCTTTTACATATTAGCAAATGGAACCACAGAGGGCTCCTGGGATTTGTGAGGATCTCTAGGGAAGCAATGTCATCCCTGGGAAACAACACCTGAGATTTGCATCTGGGCTGTGCTTACCAGATATCAGGCCTTCCCCCCATCCGTGAACAAGACACTGGTCAAAGTGGCCACAGAGTGGGGACTAGTTGGGTTGCAGCAGCCCCACCAGCGTGCCCACTCTCCCAACTCTGGGGCCTACCATGTGATGAGGTGAGAGCCCTTTTCTTCTTTTCTGCCAAGTCCTGGCTTTGCCAGCTGCCCAGTAAGAGATTTGTTTGCCTGGATGAGACAGTTGCTGCCTCTAAGAAGATGGCAGAACAAAGCCTGTAATCCCCCCGCCCCCCGCCCCGTCCAATTGTGCGGTAATCCTCAGGGTGAGAAGGAGATCAGGGGAGAGGGGACTTCTCTGGTTTCATTTAACAAGCACGCAGTAGCGCTTACTAAGTGCCAGCTACCATTGTAAACACTTCACTAGTATTATCATATTTAATCCTCATGACAACCCAGTGAGTAGGTACTATTACCAATATTATCACATTCCTTTTATCGGCGAGGAAACTGAGGCATTTCAAGGTGCAGTAACTTCTTTTACGGTCCCATAGCTGGAAAATGGCACAGCCAAGGCTTTGAATGCGGGGAGTCTGGCTCCAGAGCCCAGGACGTGCTGAGGTGCCTCTCACGGCTTCTGTGGGCCACAGACTTGCTGCAGGAAGCTAAGGCCGCAGTGCCCGCCTTGAGGGGGTGAAGAGCCCTAAGCCAGCCACGGCACTGCCCGATGGTTGCAGACACAGTAGCCTGGCATTGAGGAATAAAGCGCAGCCTAGGCTAGCAGTCACTCAAGAGCAATGGTGGCCTCTGGACAATTAACTGCTGGCTTCTTCTGGGGGCCTACTGATTTGCAAGAGCCCTGCCCTACAGACTCTCACCATTTGTGTAGAATACTCCCCTTCTCACCTAATAATAGCCATAGAGGAGGGGTTGAGTTGGAGGTGTGTGTGTGTGTGTGTGTGTGTGTGTGTGTGTGTGTGTGTGTGTGTGAATGGAGGGCAATATGAGGATGTGGGAGGAGGGGGTGTGTGTGTGTGCACACGCCAGAATGTATTTTTCCCCTCCAACAAATGTGTGGGTGGCTAATAGGGACCTACCATGGATGTAAGTGGTTACGGTTTATGTAGGAAGGAATAACTGTTTACGAGATTTAGGAAGGAACATATTCAGTATAAACTATTTTCTGAAACATTTACAATCTTACCAAGAGATAGAGAGCTGAATAGCAACCGGGGGAAGAAATTATGCAAAGGGTAACCAAACTTCTCCACCTTTTCCTTCCCTTCATTATGTAGCTTCTGTATCTGCAGAGAATTTAGCCACCAGAGTTGGGTGGCTGGGATGCCAGGGCTCCCAGAGGAAGCTGCTATTTTCTCCTCTTATTTGAAAGTAGAAAATACAGGGGCCCAGGGAATCTAAGAAGTGAATGTTCTAGAATGCCTGGGTTTGGGTGGCTTTCATGAGATTGACCCAGGTCTTGGTTCAGTGACTTTCTCAAAAGAGTGAAAATAATAGCTGACATTTATTAGACACCTTCCATGTGCCAAGCCCTCTTCCAAGGGCATTACATGCACCATCTCATTTAATATTCTCAAGGACCCTAGGAGGTAAGGTACCATTGTTATCCCTGTCCCAATTTTTACTGACAGAAACATCGAGCCACAAGGAAGTTGAGTAACCTGCCCAAGATCACCCAGCTGGTAAGGAGTGGACCCAGGATCCAAATCCAGGCAGATGTCAGGAGTGTTGTGCTTAACCCTACACTGTGCATACCTCTGGCTGCTTGCTGGGGAAGGCAGAGGAGGTGGAGGGGGGCAGGTGTGTGGAGTCCCAGATCCACCCCAAATGGGTGAATTATGGATAAGAACAACAATTGACATATTCAGTTCTTACTCTGTGCTCTTCACAACTTATTTAGGGATCCTAATGCTTTTTCTTGAATATGCATACTTGCAGCAAATGAATAAAATGACAGGGGTGGGGGCAGGGGACTGAGCCCTCAAATGTGCTAATAAGACAAAG